AGGCTCGCAGCGCAGTGCAGGAGGCGAAGCCTTGACCCTGACTGCGGTGGCGTCGACCGGAACGCACGCCGCGAATCTCGTTGATACCCACTGCCTAGCCAGTCTTGTGATCTTAGTACATTCTTTTCGCACGTGTGCCTTACGATTCTGTTTTCTCTTTCATTTAATTTAATATCCAAACAAAATCCTTCTAAAATAATAACGAAATTCAATAAAATTGTTAATAAATAAAACATTTCTTTGTTATTTTCTCATACAACGGAATAGTACTAGTAAAAATAATAAAATTAGACATCGAAATATTTGGATAGCGACAAAATCGAGAGTTGTTACAAAAAACTGGAGTATTAAATGATGAGGAGTAAACAGAGGCAGGAGAGGGGTTGGCAGTCATTGAAGTGGAACCGGTCCGGCCTGTCATAGAACCGGATTGTGACGGGGATGAATTACTCACCGAAACATTGGAACTTTGTTATGAGTTCTAAATAACATCGCCTGGACGCCGCGTCCACACAATGTAAATTTCAAAGATGATTGCTGAACTTTAGAACCACTTTGTATTCATAGAAAAGTTGTTCTTTAACCTCACTACGTCTACGGAATCATCATTAGAATTCTTTATAGTTGCTAAGGACGTAATGTTAAATTACACAACTATTTATATTGTTCGTGAAAATTTAAAAGATATCAAAGTTTACATAACAAGTTGACTGAATGCAAAAATTAAAAAAAGAATAATAAAAACCACTAAAAATTTAATATATTGTAGATTTCCCAAAAGTGGTTATAAATAGGAATAATGTTGCCGACACAGAAGATATTACAAATAATCCATTGACCGTATTCCGCCCAAGTCGATATTTATGCGATGCAGCTTTTTGCGTTGTGTTTAAATTGCTCAACCAAGACATGTCCAGAACTGTCTGTTTTCTTACAAAAACCTGCATGCAAAAGAAGCAAAACATCGTGAGGTGCCATCACAAATCAAAGAACAATCGCGCCGACAGGAGTTCCGATCGACATCGACACAATCGACATCGACTATCGATAGCGAGTTTGAACAAGCAGGATGTGACGTCACGCCTGTCGTGCGTAAACGCGAGAATTTTAAACAACCTCCTCGTACAAGATGTCATTATCGTTAAAGATGACTCCTTTTAATATGCACGCAATAAGGTTTAAAATGCTCCTTGAAGGATATTGAAATTTGTATTCTTGTCGTTCAATAGTGCGATGCTAAAGGCTTTATTTAATTTTGACAAAGGAACATTTGTTTAATTTTTTTTCTAGGTTCAGTGGTAAAGGAGTAGTTGAGAACGAATCAAAAATTTTGCTGGCAACCCTCTATAATCATACTCGTGGTATACATTGAATAAAATAAAAAAGAAGGTAGACAGGCAGGTAAGATGTGTTCACGAAAATGTCCCTATAATTTCTAAAGCAAGATAAAAAAACTAGTTGAGCAAACATTTTACGTGTGAGTATTGAATTCTGCTATTCTGTCTAATGTGTTGGAAGAGCAATGGAATCAAAATTTTGTAAGGACATACCAGGAAGACTTATAATGCATGTTAATAAAAAAAATCTAATGTAGATGAAAGACGACAAAACATAATAGTCCCTATTACTGACGCATCCATACCTTACATTTTTACAAGACAAATCGATATAAATTATGAATGTTCGTAGAATTCGATACAATCGGACACGGCAGTTCTTTTCCAACCAAATACATCTATCACAGAGCTGGAACACAAACAAACAGACGAAACAAACGGCCTAAATATATCAACATAACCCACATAACTACGCAGGCGACGCGTTGCCACCTTATCGCAGCAACCGGTTGGAGCTTCGCTGTTAAGTTCGCCGAAGCATCGCGCTGCCGGTAGTTAGACAAGGTTGCAAGTGGGTACAGCTGCGTTTTTTTGCTCCGGTTTCACGATTCCTGTCTGGAAACGCAAGGGACTGCGTGTGTATACAAGTATAGCTAGTAGCATGGTATTATTGTTCTGTGGGAAAGGGAATGAATCTGAGGCGGTTGATGTAGGCTATTTATGCAGGTTGCTCATTCGCAATTTAAAAATTGTTTGTTATTTGCAATATTAAAGACCAATTTCTGAAGATTTTTTCTTTACTAAAATAGTTTCCTTTACAAGTCGTTTACGAGGAAACATGGTTCGCTGATTGAAAACGGAACGACGAATATTAACAATATTCTTTTTAGGGTTCTGTACCCCTAAAAGCAAACCCTTTTAATACCATGCAGTTATATATAAAATTGAACCCCCCGCCCCGATACCTCGAGGTTTTTTAATTTATTATTTGTACGGAGGGTTCCGCACATATTGTAACACGACCGTTTTCTAGAATTCCGCAGTAACCTAGAGTAATGCGTACAAAACTATGAACTTTATAATACTTAAATCTGGTTATCAGTGTTTCATTAATGAATTTTAAGCTCTACCTTCAAAAGATTAAGGTACAAAATCAAGTGACGAAATTTTAGTTTTTACAACTTTACACAACTTCGAATTTCGCTTCTAACACGTTAAGATTGAAATTATTTGACTATATATTTGTAAATTAACATTTACCAATTATGGAACAACATAATAAATAAATTCTTTATCAAACAGAATATGTACTTTATGATAGTGTCATAACAAAATTGTCTGATGAAAGGCAAGCTACATGTTTAAATTTATTAATATGAAATGATTGTTGATTAATTGTGCAAGTTGTAGGTTAAACGCTGTGGGAATTGGGAGTTACAAGTTCAGTTCCTGTGCGCGTTAAATTGTTTAATGAGATGATTGTACGAATCATTCAGACTAGGGCTTTAGTCATTAAACCATAGGAGATATTCAGACAGTGAATAGTTTGATAAATTAAAGTTTAAATAATAAATAAATATAACTCATAACAAACGTTGCTCAGATACCAAAAATTAAGGCAGGGACTGTCAACCTTTTACAGGGATGAACTCTTTTGAAAACCAAATATTTTCATGGAACCAACTACTTTTATGTGTACTTTTTATTAAAAAGAAATCATTACATACGTTATTACACATTCATTCCGATAATTTGGCCAATATTGTCATGGACCCCAAACAATGCCATATGACTCGCCCTCCCACTACATAAACTTTGAGTATAACGGTTGTTATTTGGGTGGTTACTTAGAGCCGATACTGCATGCCTATCATATATGCTTACATAGAAAGTTCATTTTTTATATTAGACGGGAATCGATCCCGCTTAAGTCAGTCGGCGTCGGCGTTATACTTTTAATTTTCGTTATTTTTAACATATTCATTTAATTTAATAAAATTTGTACCGTTACATTTTTTTAGTGGTAGGTTGTCTCCACAGCTTTGTGACGTTGTTATCTCTAGGTAATCGGTTGGATATTCTTTATTTAAATTCAAAAAACAGAATCACAAACCATTACATAGATATTTACCTACCTACCTAGTAATAGAATAGGTGTCCACTAAATATTAGGGTTCAATGACCTAAATCCAATATTAAACAAATAAGCTACATCAATTAAATTCAACAACAGTTCATGCATACACTAAGTTAGAATTGGTGACTGATGAGATGAAAAACCTTTAATAATGTTTATAAACTATTAAGATTCAAAGAAAATGTTGTACGTAGGTATTTACATTAGCAACAAAATATCAAAGATTCGTCTATGTTTTTTTTATAGTTTTTGTAATGTTTAACCACATTCTTTTTTCAAATCATATTTAATAAATCAGAAATATTTTTTTTGGGACTTCTTTCATGGTCATGAAATTGGATATATAATCTGTGATAAAACGTTTCAAAAAAAGAATTCGAATCGCAAAATGATGAGGTGGTAACCTAAATAATGTCAAAATCGATTCTCTATGCTAGTGCGGCGAACATTATGAATGCATCGAACCCAGATAAGGCAATTGGAGGTCTTTTGTCGGCATTTTTTCCCCCAGACAGTCAAGAAAAAAGCTCCATCCCTCGGGTAAGATTTTTTGCTACAAACTTACCTTTTAATTAACAGACGCCTTTTAAGATTTCGTTATTTGTAAGGACTTTATGAAACCAGGTAAATTGCACGATATTTAGATTTGGAAATAGTTGGCAACGTAAAAAGTATTCGACCATAAATTGTATCTACTACATGAAAAATACTGAAATGATATTTTCCTTACGATGAGATTAAGTAGACAGGAAATCAAAGTGTAAGTAAGCACTTTGGATATGACACAATGTTTTCCGATGCCAACCGATTTATTTACATGATGTCAGTAAAAAAAGTTTGGAATGATAAGATAAGATGGATAGGTATCTCAGTAGTGCGGATGAGTTTCGACATTCATATGGTAATAAAATATACCACGTTTTATTTCACGATTGTGGGTAGTTTCGAGACAAATAAACAAAACTTATAGGTACTACATAAATAAATATCGTCTTTGAATTATGCATCTACTAATATTTTTCTACTTATTATTAGTTAAGGTGCATAGGTATTTAAATTATCAAAATACATAATTTAGTCATTAATATAACAAACATGTTGCCATTCGACATGTAAACAAAACATAAAACACAATTCTACATATTGACAAACGATAAGGGTTTCCAAACCAATTTAAACGTCGCAAAAACTGATAGAATATAACCCTTAGTTACGACATGCGACTTTAATGCTTAACTACTTTTGATTTAGTTAAAAACTTCTACGGACAAGAGAGGGTACAAAAATATCAAAGGAAAAGCGTGCCGTGTATGCTGTTCAGAGGTTGATTGGTAAATTCGTCGAGACTAAAACGATGAAGGGTGTGATCGAACATAACCTATACCGGCGTCGCGTCACGTGCGACCGCCCTTACATAAGGGTGGCGCGGCTGTCATAGTCTAGCGACAGCTGTTCCACACTCTTAAAGATTAAAAGTCAAACGCCTCTGAACGAACATTCGAGTTGACCAGAATGAATTTACATACCTTGTCTGCCGACTATCTCCGCTACATGTTCCGAAGACGGCACTGGCACGCATTCGGTCATATTTTGCGACTTCTTCGCACGATCGTCAGGCGGCGGCGCGAAGCCGAGCGGGCTGGCCAGCGGGTTGGATGACGACGGCAAGCTATCCCCGAAGTTCAGCATGCTTAGTTCGAGCGCCAGTTGAAGCGTACGCTGGTCCTCCACCAGCCCACCCCCGCCTCCCAGGTCGCCGAAAAAGCTCGTCGGCATTTCCACTTGTGAAGCTATTTTGTCTGTTACAGAGAGGTCGCCCTCTCTCACTGGATTTATGAGTCGATCGTTTTCAAGAGGCGCGTTTGTTCGTGTGCGCACGACACATGTACTCGTGACGCGACGCGGCGGTGAACTGAGTCGCCGGCCGGCGCGCGCAGGCGCTTTGACGCGGGGTGGCAGGGTGCGAGGGGCGAGCGGGGGACGGGGGCGATGCAGGCTGGGCCGCTGGGCGGCATGCGGCGGTTTCCGCCCGCCCTGCCAGGACTTTACACCTTGCGCGGTTAATTGCCAAGCTTATGGCGCGTTGCCGGTTGATACCAGATGTAGATAGATTGTTACAATCAATCACTTAGGAATATCTCATTTAATTCAATCTTAGCGCATCCTCATTATAAATAAATAAACAATTTAAGATAATTAACCAATGTTTTCATAAAGGGAAATTGTATCACAAAGTATCCATAAGAATAATTCATCAGTAATAAGTTTGTGCGTGTTATATATTTAAATTATATATATTTAGTTAGTATTTCATAGGTGTTTATCCAGTTTTATATTGTATTTTTCTTAATATGTGACAACGGTTTTATAGATAAATTTGTGATACTTCAAAAGCTAGGTATCAGTATAATTTTATTATGGCAGGAGATATTAATAATAGAGTTAGGTATAATTGGTTTGTATTTACATTGCTGTGGTGCTAAATACAAAAATTTTATGTTAAATAAATTTCATTAATTTATTATGAGACACACTTTTTTTGATTAATGATAGCTTTTTTTGTAAGATAATTTAAAAATATATATTTTTAAATTATGTGCCTATTCGAGACAAATTTATTAAATAATGTAGATTTTTGTTGATATGTGTCTTATACATACATACAACCATTTAATTTAGAAAATAAATCACAATATTATGATAGTTTGGTAGCAAGATTAACCAAGTCAGTATTTTTTTCAAAATTGAACTTTTTGAACTTTTCTCTCAGGTCAAAGTTTCATTACACAGAGGATTAAGCTACATACTATTGGGGATAGGCGATGCTATTTTGTTTTAAACACAGCCTCGAACTCGAATTATGATATTATTTTTTTCTATAGGTAACTACAATGGCTACAATGTTAAGGACAGCGTTCATTATTTTAATTTTATTTATACTCCACGGCGCTTTAGGAAAATCGGGATTTTTATTAACAAGCGGTATAGCTTCAACGAAATAAAACCTTTATCTTTTGGAGTAAGTTTTATGTGATTAAACCTCGATGCCATGACAGCGCTGTAGTCGACGTCGAATTCGGGGTTGTTCTTAACAGAATAGTGTAGTTAAACAGAATAAGTGATGCTGTCAAATTTCCAGGACCATGGTAGTGGTCTGCCAAAGCCGAGCCAAAAGACAAAAAAGAGCAAGGGCACTATCAACTTATTTTCGAATTTCTTTTTCAGTAATTCCAAAAACACGACTTGGTATTGATTAAGTACATAAATTATATAATATATATATTTTTTTATGAACTGTCAATAAGTACGTTTCTATGTCCTTGGGCAAGTTATTGCGTTGTAATAAACGTAATTATTTTTCTAGTGTACCTACAGGCTAACACAAACCAATCGGTTAACTCACAGTTTTGTCCTATTGGGAAATAATGCCTTTGTAAATAAAACGAAATGTCGCAAATAAACACAGACTCAAAGTTATGTGATGGCGGCCGTTTACCGGAAGTGACGTCACAAGTCGTCGGCAACTAGAGAACTAGTTGCCGACGACTTTGTACAGATTTGATAAAAGGCCATCTATATCATGACCTCAGATAACGTCAAAACTTCTAGGAAATTCACGAAAATGTTTACACAAGTTGAAATTTATACTAAATAGATAAGTAATTAAATATTTTTCATTCGAAAGCGGGTCAAACTGGAAGGGAAAAATTTCTAACAAGCATAGCTAGTTCACCTTCCAGACGGTGAGATATTTTATTAAATTTCGTGTAAATTAAAAATTATGTTTATTTTATGCTTCACTTTTGTTTTGATGTAATAATGGAAGTCATGATTAATTTATGTTTTGTAATTTTGTTTTTAGAACTATAAATAAAGTAATGTTGACACATCAATAGCTTCGCGATGACCTCCGTAGCGCAAGAACTCCTACGGCGGTTTGAAGGCGCCACCATCTCTGAGGACCCGGGTTTGATTTCCTTTCGGGTCAATGTAGTATATTATATATCAGTTCTATATTATCTTATCTCATCATCAATATCTGTTCTGCCAGCCAATATTTTTCAAAACTTTTCTATATTAGTTATTTTATGTCTGGGTGTTTATGACAGCCTACAATATAACAGAGTTTTCAACTTAATGGCTTCTACTTATTGCCATCATTAGTCTAATAAATTCCTCTCCACGCGGGCCCAGAACGGAATGGTTGACGTTGGCGATTGCAGATATAGCCTGAACTAACAGCATATCAAAGCAGTGTGTGAAGAAAAATTACGGTCACCCATCCGATGACCGACCTTTACGAAAGTTGTTTAGCCTTCTCAACCAATGCTCCGTTTAATTCTCATATGCTGTGTCTCGTATGTCTAATTCAATATTTTATAAGACAGTTTATGTGCAATGTACAATACAGTCATCTTCCAATTCCAAGAAACAGTCGGACTGCGATCGTTTGTAAGGTCAAGGGAGGTCGTCCACAATTTTTTTTTGTTAGACAAGGAATATGCAATAATATTTAAATAAGCACCAAATTTGTGAAACATTTTAAAACTTATATTATTTATCTTGTAGAAAAAATTTCAACTGTCACAAACACTTTAGATTGGGACAGTAATTTTCTCAGTGAAATATTAATAACTATACTTATTATCACTTATTGCAAATCAAGCTGAGGGCTACAGAAATACTCAGCAAATCTATTATAGATATACGCATTTAAATGTAATTATTAAGCGTTAGCTATTTACCTGACTTCACTCACGTAAATCATAGCTCATTGTCACTTGCTTATGATGTAGCTTCCCGTAGATAAAAGAATTTTTAAAACCGGTCGTCGGTTAGTTACGGAGGTTATTCAATAAAAACAAACAATTGAATCTTTCCTCTTAATAACATAAGTCTTTTTTTTTCGAAAATAGAACCAACTTCAAAATTTTTTTGGAGACAAATGACAGCTTATATGGCAACTATCCAATCTTGCAGGCGAAAAGTGAAATTAATATTTTTTATTCGACTCACGTTTTGTATTCACTTGATTTGTTACACGTATAAAAACAGTCAAGATATTTAATATTAACCACTTTCAATTACGTTATTATTCCATTTTGACAAGCACACCAAAACATGTACAACCCATGTAGAGTTGTCCACATAAAAGATAAGAAATAATAGTTATCTTTGAAAAGCGATTAAATTATTAAATAAACTGCTATTGAAATCGGGCGGTTTTCATTTAATTAACCAACAGAAAACATAAAGTCGGTCCTATATTTGAAAAAAAAAAAACCTATATTTGAAATAAGTATAAAATATCTTTAAAAAAAAATGATGTTAACATAGCGAAATTCTGACGACTTTGTTTATTTGCACGACACCTAAAATACACATTTACAATACTTATTTGATAAAAAATTGTTCACGTAGTCAGTTCCCGGTTAATGTTGGTATTATTTTTTTTTGCCCCAACTTTATTAAAATTGTTAATCTATAAATTAGCGTAGAAAAAGAATACCATGGCTAACAAAACATCGGTGAATTATTATTACTTATTTCTACTTGAACTTAAATACTCATAGGTTGTAGCGTAAGATGATGAGGGGAAAAAGAGATCCACCATGTCTTAACTTGTACTATGTATGTATGTTTGTTCGTCAAATTTTGCAAGTTATTTTGCATACAAGGGGAATTATGATTCTAAGTTTTAATAGCTTTCATGTAAGATTATAATCGTAAGAACCTGCAAAAATTAAGATTATTTATTACAAATAGCACCTAAAAGAATCTAATGAGCAATAAAAAAGTAATCATTTACTTGAAAATAATTTAATATTTCAAAAGTTTGAATTTCGTGTCAGTTATTGAAGGTTGTGTAGGGCGGGCGGGGTGAACGACCGCAGCTGCCGGTTCCTAGACACAGATATACTACTGGTATTGCCAGGTAGGTTATGGTATATGGAATAAGGTCGCAATTTGATGACATCAGTTTCGCATACGCGATATAAAGTTTTATCAATGTTTGGATATTAATTTTGTGCGATGAATTAAAATCGTACTCGAAAATTTATTTCCTCATATATTTTTTTTTATATATTCAGTCATACTGATTTGATTGATATATTTAAAGCTGCCGGGGTAACTCGAGGTAATGCGTATTGGTCACCCATCTTATGACTGGTCTTTGTGAAAGTAGAATGGTAACTCTAACTACTGAGTCAACGAGCCCCATTCGATAGCATTTAGAACATTTGAGTATCCAAATATTTTATATTTGGATACTCAAATGTTCTAAATGCTATCGATCAGATTCGCATCCACAATGCTATACGGAAAAATATTCTTAATACAAAATGTTTAAAAAATCCACTTGGTCTCTGGCACCCTGAGATGGGATTCGAACCCACGACCTTTCGCAATCCGGACAACTGCTCAGGGTGCCAGGGACCAAATGGATTTTTTAGGCATTTTGTAATAAGAACATTTGAGTATCCAACCAGAATTCTTATATAAGTAACCATAGGTTAATTTACATAAAAAGATGCAACCACAATTTTATTATCCTGTTGAAAAATATTTTTTAGATTTTTCTATAAGATATATGTTATTAATGATTCTTTGTAAAAGGTTGCACGTTTGATTTTTATTACGCGTGAAATATTTAGTACTTAGAACGTGACTCTAACTTGTATTTAATATCAGACAAAAGAGATGGACCCTAACGTTTAACCACTACCTGTTCAGAGATACATTATTGTGTTTAGTTACCTGCTTATGTATCTATAATAAGCAGGTATAAGTGTCCGTACACGGTTTTGTAATGAGGATTTCCATGGCGCTGTGTTAAGCGCGTTCGCTGTCGACGGCCCGTCATAGGCTGCGTGATCAAAAATTTACTGTATCAGACTCATACGTGCATTTAC